TTTCTCGGTTCTTTGGTAACAAGGCCACGAGCCCATGTCAAGACAGAAGAGCGGGATGCCTGCAGACATTAGCTCTGCTAACATTTTAATGTGCTCGCTACGGCAGGAGCACCTCGTCACCTCAAACATGTAGGCTGGCTTCCCATGAGAGCCTGAAGTCACCAGAGTGTTGCTTGGGAGCTAATAAGCCTCCTTTGAATCTTCAGAGTCATTCAGGGTTCTGTACCCCTGCTTGGGGAAATACAATTAGGAGACAGTGTTAATACCAACGAATGACTCTCCCAGTGGAATCTGGGCTCCATTTCACCTGCTTCCTGGAGTGCTCACTCATTTCTCCGCCTGCTGCTGGATAAGTGTGCCCGTGACTTGGAAGGCTTCCCTTTCTGACTGACTTGAGTATCAATCTGATTCCAGGCTGAGGGAGCCACTGGGTCAAAGAAAAGGTGTTGGGAGAGCCTGATTAACTCACTCAGAGTTAGAAAGTGAGGTAGAAGGAGGGATCAGGGAAGGAAGGGATGAAGCTGGAGTCAGGGAATCCCCTACAAGAGCGAACATGGGTTCCTGAACACAGCCAAGAGATCAAGGTGTGTGTATGCACTGGAGTGAGGGGAAGCCAAGACCAGGGCTCATGCCCAGTCTCTGAAAAGCACTGTGACCTTGGGAAAGCTGGGCCTGCTCATTGTTCCCTGAAATTGTCTCTAGGCTGTGGCACACTCTGTTCCAGCTGCCTAGATTTCTCTTCCATCCCAGATTGAGTTTCCTCTCCTTTGTTATCAGGCAAAATCCTATGTGCTTTCAAATGCCCCTTCCCTGTGGACCCTCCCCCAGGGCCACCTCTGCTCTCTGGACTTCAAGAGTCTACGAGTGGAGTGTGGAGACATACCAGGAGGCTTCAAAAAGTTTGCAGACAAAGAGAGGGAAAAGAGAATGGGGTTTTTCTGTGAATTTTCTGATGCCCCCTTATAGATGAGCAAGGGTTCCAGTGGTGCTTTAAACACATCATTCACCGCATAGCTCCTGTGGGTCTGCAGTTTTGCATCTACCTTTTCACCTGGAAGATTGCATTAGAATGAGATTCAGCTCCATGCTGTTCTCTTGGCTCTTGTGGGGGCCCCCAATACATAGCCGCATGCTTGAACTAATTCCACTGGTCTTGGGTCTGTCTCCTCACTAGACAGGTGAGCTCCTTGAGGGCAGGGACTGACCTTTATTCCCCCAAGTGAGCTCATGAAGTGATTCTCCTTAGAATGGACAGACCCGCTACTCTTTCCATACACCATGCTGCAAATGGGAGGTCATCAGGAGTTCCAACTTGACCCAATGCCAACCATCTGTCGCTTGTCCAAGTCAACTCCATTTTCACCCCAACCATAGCAGCCTTGAGAAGAACAAGGCTTCAATCCTCTTATGGAGCCTGCAGCAGAAGGTGCCCAAGCTTCAAACCCTACACACACGATTATACCCATTGTGATTTAGAACAACTGTGGCAGGCTTAAAGAGCCCATGAATCCACTTAGTAGAAATGAATGTTTCTCTTACACATGAGTTGAAATTGACTTGATGGTGATGCTTTGTTCCCTTGTACATAAAGACAAAGCTGGGGCAACACAACACCTAGGATGATGTTGCCACTGCAGAAGTGTGCAAGATGAGGGTACAGCAAGGTTTCCCACAAGCCTATGGGGCTCTTCTCCTACACCATCATTCTCTCAGCCCTCTGCTTCTACAAAGCAAGACACACCAGACTGGACCGGAACCTGGTGACCTCTGTGTGTGGAGGCTCTTATTTCAGCAGACTGAAAAACCTTTGATGGTCCATCAGTGAGTGATATTATAATGTTGTTAAGTGCCGTTGAGCTAATGTTTTTAAGTGCCGTTGAGCTGTTTCGACTCATAGCAACCCTGTATAGGGTTTCCAATGAGTGGCTGGTGAGTTTGAACCACTGACCCTGCAGTTAACAGTTACATGCTTATCCTACAGCACCACATCAAACCTTCACTATTATAATGGTGGTGGTGGTGGTCATGGGCCATGGAGTCAGTTCTGATTCATAGAAACCTTGTATAGGGTTTTCGAGGCTGTAAATCTTTATAGGAGCAGAAAGCCTCATCTTTCTTCCATGGAACCACTGGTAGTTTTGAACTGCTGATCTTGAGGTTAGCAGTCTGATTCGTAACCAGTAGGCTACCAGATCACAATAGTATGTGTGTATATGTGTGTGTGTGACAGAGAGAGAGAGAGAGAGAGAGAGAGAGAGAGAGAGAGAATGGTAATGTTCACATTATCCAGTTAATCTATTATCCAAAAGGCAAAAGGTCTAGCTCATGTCTAGCAACTGACATCCACAACTCAATCCCTATCTATCTATCTATCTATCTATCTATCTATCTATCTATCTATCTATCTATCATCTATCTGCCTCATCCATTATGAGTCCTATAATCAGTTCGCTCTCTGACTTTAAGGCCACCTCTTCAGATGGTCAAATTGTCACCATGAGAAGAAAGTGAGTCCAGGTATACGGATATCAGAAATGAGGATGATAAATCTGGCATCAAATTGAAAATGCACTACACTTGTGGCCAGAAACCTGGTGTGTGGAGCTTCCCCAGCCTTGCTCCCACACACTACCCCTACCTCCTGCCAGCCTTCAGAGCAGTGGTGGAAACTCAGTGGACTGTGGGGCGGCAGTTGTAGGAACCAGCCTATCTGCAACCAGGTAACACTGCTCAACCCTCCTGCAGAGCGGAGCTTGAATGATGCTTCCGAAATAGGGATTTAATAAACTGAAGGTGGATTGAGCCAACCAACAAGGAATCTTGATACATAATAAAATTCACAGGGGAGAGGCCTTTCTATGCTTGCAGGAGGGCGCCACCTTCCAGTCTGATCCTACCTGTGGGGGCAGGTCTACATCTGGGTGGGTGGTGGCCACTCAGTTGTTGTTGGGTACTGTGGAGTCACCGTAGGGTTTCCTAGGCTGTAATCTTTACAGAAGCCATAGGAGCACAGTGGTTAAGCACTTAGCTGCCAACCAACGGTCAGCGGTTTGAATTCATCAGCTGCTTGGCAGGTGAAAGTTGTGGCTATCTGCTTCCGTGTGGGGGTGTTCTACTCTGTTCTAGGGGGTCACTATGAGTAGGAATCAGGTCAGTGACGATGGGTTTGGTTTTGGGGTATTTACAGAAGCAGATCAGATCATCGGGACTTTCCTCCTGTGGTGCGTCTGGTGGTTCAAGCCCTGCCACCCTTTGGTTAGCAGTTGAGCACTTTAACATGTGTGCCACAAGGGTTCTTTTTGCAGAAGTCTAAGGCCTGCTCATTCAAGGGGTGGTCCAATGCCTCACACTGCCAATCACATCCCAGAGCTACTGAGCCAGAACCTGCACTGCATTCTAACAAGAGCCCCAGGGTGTTTGACAACACTCTCAAATTTGGAAAGCGCTGGCCACCTGGTAAGAGATGTGGCTGTGGGTTCCCTGCCCATCTCTGGACTGCACCAGATGGACAACCATGAAAAAGCTGAGCGTCTTTATCTTTGATCAAGCCTATTGGCTATTTTTTTTTTTTAAGGTTTGAAGGTCACCTGGAATTAGACTGTGTAACCTTGGGCAGGTTTGCTTAAATTCTCTAAGCCTCCATTTCCTCATTGCCAAATGAGGGACATTGACAATGACTAGAAGTCCTGGTGTGGCACTGTAGGATAAAGCACTGGATGGCAAGGTTGGTTTGAATCACAAGGTCAGTGGTTCAAACTCACCAGCTGTTCCATGGAAACTCTATACAAGGTCGCTATGTGTTGAAACTGACTTGACAACACTTAATTAAGAACAACAACAACAGTTGTCAGTTGTTGGCAAGTGGATTCCGACTTAAGGCGACCCCATATGCGCAGAGTCAAGCTGCTTCCTAAGGCTTTCAAGGCTGTGAGCTTTTAGAAGCAATCTCTAGGCCTGTCTTCCGAGGTGCCGTGGGCTGGGTTTTAACCACTAACTTTTAGGTTTGGTAATCCAGTATTTCACAGTTGAGCCACCTTGGGGCTCTATTAACAGTGGTACTTATCTGGAAAGGCTGCAGGGCAGGTAAACAGGTGAATGAAATCACAAGAGCAGGGGCTTAGCAGAGTGGCTAGCACACAGTTGAACTTGAGAAACAGTGATTACCTGTTAGGATCCCTCTGCCCCAGGAATGGAACACTGTCCCCAGAAGAGAAGCCAGCTCTCATCCCCCTCTCTTCTCCTACTTACTCACCCCTCTCTCTTTCACAGTTTGGAAACCTGAAACCTTTTCCAGTGAAACTCAAACCAAAGAACCAAAGAGGGATGAATTTTCTCAATGGGAGCATTCAAGAACTAGGCTCTGGAGCTGGTTTCAATCCTGATTCTTAAAAGCTATGTTAACACTGAGCCTCAGTTTTCTCATCTGTAAAATGGCCATAGGTACATGCTGCTTTTTGTTGTTGTTGGGTGCTGACGAGTGAATTCCAACTCATAGCAACCCTGTGTAGTGGAGCAGAGCTGCCTTAGAAGGTCTCCTGGGCTGTATAATCATTATGAGAGCAGATCACCAAGTCTTTTTCCTGCAGAACTGCCAGGTAGATCTGAACCATCATCCTTTTGGTTGGCAGTCAAGTGCTTAACTACGGTGCTACCAGGGATCTAGGTCAATCATAGTGCTCAAGGGTCATTGTGAGGATGAGATGAACTGACCCATAGGAATATCATGTGTGTTTATAGCACGTGTGATTGCTGTTAGCATTACCCGCAGCATCAACATCAACTGCTCCCAGATAACCAGGCAGCCCAGGCTCCCGCTCAGTGTGGGAAGGGGGAGATAGGAGAGGAGAGGGTGCAGCTGGTGTAGGGGACCTAAAGAGGGGAGAGGAGAGGAAGGAAGGTGGAAACCTTGAGAGTAGCTGGAGCAGAGGTGGGAGCCATGGAAGGCGCTGGGCAGACATGCAGGAAGGCACCAAGGGGTGGGTGATGGCTGACTCACGTACACCTGCGGGCCGACTCCTGGGTCAGCTGCAGCCGGTAGATGGAGAGGCGGTTGGCGCCACCGCACACGTTGCTTCGCTCGCCCTTGCACTCCATATCACACTCCGTCTCACTCACGTTGGCTGCCTGGATCTTGTGGCCACAGTAGCACTCGGCGCCGAACTCCAGCCCGGCAAACAGGTAGCCCCTGTGTGAAACTGCTGTCAGGCCAGCAAGCTGCCCACAAGACAACCTTAGGGCTGGGAGCAGGGACGCCCTGTACTGAGGCCTGGGGGATGGGAGGACTCCAGGGCAGGGAAGGCAGGGAATGGGGAGACATCAGAGAAGTAGAGGGAGACTCATTCAACCTGAGGACCTAGACTAGAAGAAGGGGAACTCCGGGGGACAGGGAGACCCCAGGGATGATGGGAACACCAGAGAGGGCAGGGAGTATAGGGGAGACCTGGGGGGAAATGAGGGAGGCCCTCAGAGGCAGGGGAACCCAAGAAGATCTGGGGACAGCAATGCTCCATGGGATGAGGACCCTAGGAGGCGTCAGTGAGGATGAGGGGTGAGGGAGTCTGCTGGGGGAACAGGGAGGCCCAAAGAAGGGACCATAATACCCCAGGGGGAAGAGCATTGTTTAGCTGAGACCACCACCCATCTGTTTCCATCCCCTTCTGGTGCATTACACCCATATATACATGCTACATACATACTATATACATTCTCACATACACACCATGCCCATGCTCACACCCACCTGCACACACCTCCTGCCACATGGCACAGCTGTCTAAACACACACACACACACACACACACACACACACACACACACACACTCTGGCCCTGCCCCTCCCCACTCTTCTGCCCTGGCTGTAGACAAAGGCTTCACATCTCCAGAAGGAGTCCCTACCTTTATCCTAAGAAACATCCCTTGAGATGAGCTAAGGGGAGAGGAGGAGGTGGACACTTGCAGATCCCTTTGAAAGACGGCAAAGCCAAGGCCACAAATCCAGCCAAGTCAACATTTCCTCCCCCGTTCAGAAACAAATCAATCCATCCTGCTGCCCAAATTACTTGGGGAACTGCACGGTTTTCAGTGTTTTTGTTTCAAGGCCATGAAATCCTTCCCTAAAAAGGACTTTTTGGACCCAGTCTATAAACAGATAGAAAGCATTGCTTGTTCTGGGGGAAGGCGGAGGCTAGGGAGAATCACTTCCCTCAGGCCCTCACCTACTTCAGTCTCAGAAGAATTCTTTAAAACAGAACAGTGACAGTTCCCGAGGCAGCCTCAATGGGAACAGCCAGCTACCACTTCACTCTGGACTGTGCGGTGCTGGCTGGACCAAGGCCCACCCAGACTCGTGCTTCTACCCACCTGGCTACTTGAACATCACCTGACTTTGTCCAGTCCATATGCTCACCTAGACAGATGTGGCAAGGGCAGCTTAAACTAATGTGATATCTTGGTGCTGAACCCTACTGAAATGCTGGGCCTGGGGCAGGCTTCCTCCTTTTACCTTTCTCTGTCTTCTTTCAAGCCCTTGGGGGTCCCCTCTTATAGTAGGAACCACTGATAGAAATAAAACTTCACAAGAAATAGGACCCAGTGAATGTTCTCAGCTCGAAAGCAAAAGGTACAAAGGATGAAGTCTGAGGTGGAAGAGAACTGAGGTGGGGGAAGAACCTTCCAGAACAGATTCTAGTGCCTTTAAGCCAGTGAAAGAACAATTATACCCAGGGACCCCATAGGACAGGAAGTATGGGTTCAGAATAAGTCCACAAGTTCTTTGATATGCCTGCCTTCAAGAGGTGGAGCTCAATTAATCTCTTTTTGAAGGTGGGCTTGTCTTGGTGACTCATTTCTAATGAAATGACTTTCAAAGCCAGGTCACACAGGCACCGTGTCTTCCTCCTTGCTCTCCTCTTGGGTCTCTCACTCTGTGGAAAGCCAGCTGCCATGTCGTAAGACCCTCAAGAAGCCACATGGGAGAGGTCCATGCAGTGAGGATCTGAAGCCTCCAGCCAATAGCAGTTGGGGTGGGAGGATCGTGTGACCTTCAGAGCTGATTGGCCGGGGGTGTGACACCTCCTCACAAGCTACCATGAAATCAAGGAACCCAAGGCAAGGAGGAAAGCCATGAGACAAAGGGAGGGAAGGTCAGCTCAGTTGCTCAGTGCCCCTCAGGCAGCATACCTGGACTTACTGCTGCCCAAGCCTGGCCTGAAGGTCTTGACCCTGTTATTTGAGGCCTTGTCACTCCAGGAAAGTGAAATCCCTGTCCCTGTTCCTCTGGCGCATGGCCTCATGGAGAACATCATCTTTGTCTTACACTGGAAAATACTCATCTGAACAACAGAATCTCCTTGGAAGGAAAACAAGGAATGCCGTTGATACCAGAGCCACTGCCTCACCCTTCACACAGATGACCCCATATGGCCGTGCACACACACACCACGAAACTGTGCATTTCCAAGTTGTTCCTATTGCTTGCAGCATCAACACCATCTTGGACACTTAGCAACACAATCATAAACACCTGCGCACACCATCACAATTCTGGACCCATGTACACATAGTCACAGCCAGACTCTCAGATACAATTATTTAAAGAAAATTATGGATTGACCTTAATCCCACAACATAACCAGCCCTAGCAACACTCATACAACTACAGATTCACTCCCTGGTGTAATCTCACACAACTGCACGATCACAAATTCCCACAGACCAACACCCAACTACTCATTTGCATACGTATGCACATGCACACACATGCCCTTGTGTTACCCTTTCCTAGTGGTCCCGTGATCATGCTCCAACACACCCCTCCAGAGAAAAGGAGAGGACCCCACAGGTAAGAACCAGAGAAGGAAGGGTCTGAGGTGAATGGAGCCTGGGGGGTTGGGGTCCTACCGTTCTGCACAGTTGTCCTGGCAACGGAAGACAGTCATCTTTTTGTAGTCAAAAAAGGACATGCCTCGCAGAGCCCGACTCTGGGTATCATCCAGATAGCAGCCGATGTACTTGGCTTAGGGGAGAGGACAAAAGTTATGATGTGGCTGGGGCCAGAGCTGAAGGGGTTACAAGACAAAGCTTCCCCAAGGCTCTGAGGATCTGTTGACCACATGGCACCGATCCTTTCCTCGAGCAGAAGACCAGAAAGCAAACAGACTGACATTCCTGTGCCATGGCAGACCTGGTCCAATATGGCAGTGGATTCAACGGTAGGGCTCTGTGCCTGGAGACCAGCACAGAGGAGGAGGGGACCCTTCTGTGGCCAGACCATACTGGTAACCTCCAGGCACCAGGAAGCCCAGACAAAAGGTGACTCTAAGCACCAAGCAGAACTTCCATCCTCTCCTACAATGGGTGTCATATTAAGATAGTTCTGACATGCTTAGCATTTGATAGCATGTTATCATTTCTATTTATGGTGCCTTAAGATACTGAGTTTTCTTAGAAGTATACTCGACTTGGCCATCTCAAGGTCTAGGCCTTTCTGTCACATCCTAGCTCTGGCCTGGGGACATCAGGGCAGTCCTCGTCTGTTGAGGAGGGAGGGATCATTAAACTGGAAGGGTACAAGTACTGTTTCTATTGTTAAACCAAAAAGCAATTCAAACATTGCACTGAATCGCTCTAACTCATAGCGACCCCCTAGGACAGAGGAGAACTGCCCCATAACATTTCCAAGGTTGTCATCTTGACGGAAGCAAACTGACACCATCTTTCTCTCATGGAGTGGCCATTTGGTCCAAATTACTGATGTTCAGTTAACAGTTGAGTGCTTAACCACAGTGCTACCAGGGTTCTTTTTCTATCCTTGTTGTTGGTAAGTGGCATGGAGTTGGTTCTGATTTAGAGTAACCTTGTATAGGGTTTCCAAAGAGCTGTTGGTGGGTTTGAACTGCTAACCTTATGGTTAGCAGTCCAGCGCTGATCTTACAGAGCCACACCAGGAATCCTGTTTCTATCATAGTGACTTGCATGTAGTAAGCACCAAGTTCAAGTGAGTGGCGTAAGACAATGACCTGTCATAGTGCTGAGTATAATGCTTTACAGTTTGCCCATATAGTGAGCCAACGTGAATGTTTCCACCCACTAAAAACATTTATTATTATGATGTAAAACAACCCTCCAATTATAACCACACACTTAGCTTTCTTCAAGTCAACAGGTTCCTGTGCTTTGTGGTAAACTGTAACTCACACACACTGACAGGACTTCCGTTTAGAAAGTCTTTCCCTATGTGTGTTTACAATTATTATGATTGATATGTAGAATTTTTGTTAAATGCATTATACATATTGTCTAACTGAATTCCTAAAATGAGAAAATTTAGGTCCAGAGAAGTTCTTTCACTCGCCCAAGGTAACTCAGTTTGAAAGTGTGGAGCCAGGATTGGCCCCAGGTGACTGCTGCAGAGCTCATACTCTGACCACAGGTTGCTTCTTTTCAATCGGGGCCTCTTTGTAAAGACCCAAGTGAAGTGGGAAATGTTGGCATCTTATGCTATTTCCTTAGATGAGTGAACAAGAGCTCAGGGAGGGATAGTGGGTCTCTCAAGACCCACAGCTACTCAGCGGTAGAATAAAGATGGAAACCCTTGTCTGTGGGACTCCCTATCTGTGTTGTTTCTACGACTCACCCTAGAAGCAACTGGAGGTTGGACTAAGGCAGTCCTCGGCGTTAAATGGCCTCATTGGGAATGATTAGTGGAGAACACTAAATGCCACTCCATCACTTTCTCTGTGGGTTTTTGGCTCCCCTTACTCATGCTGGAGCGCAGCCATGTCCCTTCAATGTCACCCTGTTCATGCAGAATTTCCAGTCCTGCTGGAAATGTGCCTCAGCCCTGATCATCGTGGCTTTCTTTCATAAGACAGAAGGGATATGGTTTACTGAGGATCCACAAAACCAAAATGGACTCATAGTGACCCCACAGAACAAAGTTGAATAGTTCCACAAGGTTTCCGAGGCTGTCAATTGTTACAGAAGCAGACAACTTCATTTTTCTCCCACAGAGCAGATGGTGGGCTTGAACCGTCGATCTTTCCGTTTGCAGCTAAGCGCTTAATCACTGAACCATTAGGGCTCCTTTGACTAAGAAAAGTCTATCAGCTCCCTGGAGCAGGCACATCAGCGGACAAAGCTCTGGAGAAGCTACATCTTGTCACTGTGCATGATCAACGATGTATGCTCTGCTTATTGCAGAGGGAACCACAGCCCTCTGGTCTGGGGCAGCGTGCTGCTCACATGTGGGCTGGGGGAGAGAAATCTCATGGGCCATGTGGATGAGGGTTCCACATGAACTTGAAGCTCAACAGTTCATCAACAGTTTCCACGGCTGTCTTGTAGGAGGTGCTCACCCCATGGCACTGAGCTGACTCTGTCTCGCTGCCATGGAGTCAATTCCAACTCTTAGCGCTCCTGTGTAAAGTTTCTGAGGCCGTAATCATTATGGGAGAAGAAAGCCGCCTCTTCTTCCCATGGAGTGACTGGTAAATTTGAACTGCTGGCCTTAAAAGTTAGGAGTCCAGTGCTTATCCTACAGCGCCACCAGGCCTCCTTTGTAGGGGACGCAGGGGGAGAAAAAAAAAAAAAAGGAGAGGTTGTAGGAGTCAGAGAAGAAAGAATGGGGAAGGAAGGGTAGAAAGAGGGAGGAAGAAGAAGAGAGGAGGTTGGTTTATTTTGGCAGAATGAGGTCTTCACCATCAGATTAGCAGATAGCATGTGTGTGTCACGGGGGAGGAATAGAAAAAGAAAACTACCATGCATTGGGACCATAGAGGCTCTGTATGATAAACACAGGACTGCAAACCACAAGGTCAGCGGTTCCAGCCCATCAGCCACTCTGCGGGAGAAAGATGTGGCTTTCTGCTCCGGCAAACACACACAGCCTCAGAAACCCAATACTGTGAGTCAAAACGAACTCAGTGACACTTACAACAACAACAATGATGCATTGAGCACCTATGTGGCAACCACTTTGCTATGTATGAACCTCATTATTCAATCCTCACAACTTTCTTATTAACTTATTTTATGGATAAGGAAACCAAATGTAGTGATAACTATATCTCTTTGCCTTGGAAGTCAATCTTAACTTTGGCCTATGATCTATGTTCTGACTAGTAACTACTCATGTAAATAAGTACAAAAATAATTTTATTTTTCTTCTTTTCTAAATGTAATTTAAAAAACAACAACAAAAAAAATCAGTTACTGTCAAGTTGATTCTCACTCATGGTGACCCCAAGTGGGTCAGAGTAGAACTGAGTGCCATCAGGTTTTCAAAGGCTGAGTTTTGGGAAGTGGCTCTCCAGGCTTTCCTTCTGAGCAGCCTTTGGGTGTGTTTGAACCTCTAACCTTTCAGTTAGAAGTTAACTATTTGCACCATCCAAGGACTAGAAGCTAAAGAATCTGTCCAAGTTCCTACACTGTGTGTCCTTCCACCATTAACAACCTACAGGATGCAGATGACACAATCTTGCCTGCTGAAAATTCTGTTAACTCGAAGCACTTACTGATGAAAGGCAAAGACTGCAGCCTTCAGTATGGATTACACCCGGGCATTAAAAAAAAAAAATTAAAATCCTCACAAATGGACATATAAAGAACATCAAGATGAAGAGGAAATTAACACTGTCAGTGATTTCATTCTACAAGGATCAAGAATCAACATTTATGGAAGCTGCCATCAAGAAATCCAATGACATACTGCACCGGGCCAATCTGTGGCAAAAGACCTCTTTACAGTTATCAAAGGTTAAGATGTCACTTTGATGACTAAGGCGTGCCTGACCCAAGTCATGGTCTTTTCAATTGCCTCATGCATGCAAAAATCTGGGCACTGAATAAGGGAGGCAGAAAAAGAATGCATGCCTTAGGTGTGATGTTGGCAAAGAATGCTGCCAACATAGAAGAAATACAACCAGAATGCTCAACAGTGAAGATGGTGAGATTTACGTTGGGAACATCATCCACAGTAAAGGGCATCATGTTTGGTAAAGCAGAGAGTCAGAGAAAGCGAGGGAGACCTCAATGGGAGAGGCTGGTACAAGAGTTCCAACAATGGATTAAAACATAACTAATGTCCAGGAACACAGTACAAGACTGGCCAGATTGTCCTTCTGTTATATGTAAAATTATCAAGAAGGGGAACCAACTCTGCAGCAACCTTCCCCATCAGGCCGCAGACTGAGATGTCCCATACAACAAGTGCGCAAAGACCTGCTGGATGAACAAATGACCCTCCCTTTCCTTATCTGTCAACAAGAGGGAGATAAAGAACGAGGGTCCTTTAGTAACACTCTGGAGAAACATGAGCGGGTTGTCACTGTGGCCTGAAGAATGGGCTATGTTATGTGGTTGAGGACATGAATTTTCAGTTGGTTGCCTCTCATTTCTAGGAAGGATGTGGTGACTCCTATCCTGCTGACCAGTGAGTGTGGGCTGTGACCAATAGAACCAACATCCCTGGAATTTCAGTCCCCACTGAGCTCATCAGTGGTTACTGCCAAAGCACTAAAACCATTTTCCCAGGGCCCCGACTTCAAATCCTGCCATAGCTGTAAAACAGGGACAAAATTACAGACCACTAGATTGAAACACTGATGGTCAAGTTCACATGATCTATCAGCCATAATCCAAATATCACTGACCTGTTGTGCACAGGGTAGGTATGAGCTGGAACCAACTCCATGGCACCTAACAAGAACAACAGAAGAAAGCAGGATACAATCCTGTATATATAAACCATATGATGCTCAGAAAAGGAAAAGAACTAAAAGGTAATAAACCAACATTGTGATGCAGTTGGAGGCTGGGTCATTTAAATGTTCATCCTTTTTTTCTAATACATTCTAACTTCTCTGAGCCTCCACTTCCTCATCTGTGAAATGGAACGCAATAATCCATCCGTGACGTGAGCCTGAGAGTGTGGAGACACAGCTTCTGACACAGCAGTGATTACATCTCCTGCTGCAGGAGACTGGGGGTGGGGAGGTGACCCTGCTGTACCTTCTG